TCAATATGCCAAAGCAGCATATTTTGGGGTAATGTGTTCTTAATTCCTTCATCAAGTAAATGGGTTTAATTAACCTGTAAAAAATATGAAATTGATTTTCCAAGACCCATAATTAAATAACGTGTGACAGTTTTAAATGTTATTTGGTTATTACCAAAATAGTCAGTTCGATATGACAACTTCAACTGAGGATAAATATTTCCTGGGACCAAAGCCCTCCATAGGGGTGTATGGTTGGGGAGAGTAGCAGTCTCATGACATTGCCTGGGTAGGTGCTAAGTTATCATGATCTTGAGTGAGTATGCCTCTGCCCCTGCTGAAATACCCAGCACAGTGGAAGTGGAGATTGCCCTGGCTGAAAGCGAAAAGATCTACTTCCAGGTTCAGATCTCATTAGAAGCTAGGCTCCAAAGAGATATGCAAGAGGAGAAGTCATTTTAACTCCATATCCTCTCATAGCCTCAAGGAGACAGAAGCAACGGGTTATTTTCCTATGAATGGAATCCTATTTTTCATTTGTTGCTGTGTTTCCAAAAGGTGAATTCGTATTCAAGTGTAATGAACACCAAATATTCACTGTTACTTAGGAGAATTATTCAACTAACTTAAGAATGTGCTTTAGATGAAATAAAAAGTAACTGAGAACTGAGCCATGTTGTCCACTAAATTATCCTCCATGGATAACCCTGCCTCTGGACAAATAAATATACCCACAGTTACCTAGACAGTGGCTGGATTTTCATATGAGTGACTCCAATGAGGTTAAAACACGAGGTTGAGATTTTGAGTCATCCTAAGATGTATATCCCTGGGTTTTCCCTTTTTGGAGACAGCCATAGGATGAAGAAAAAGAGGAGGATGATTGATGGAGCTGAGAGGTAATTTTATTTAAATTTTAACAAAATTCCTTTTTTGATCTTTTTTGGTTCTTATTTTATTTAATCTAAACAGCATTGTATTTATTAAAAAATTATTTATTGAGGAATTCCTTTGCCAGGAATTTTCCTATGCCTTCCAGGCTGCATTATTCTATAGTACTTGGCCCAAAGAAAGAGAGACTTCAAACCTAAGGCAAGGGAGATGATAAAGACAAAATCTGAAAGGTTTGGGCAAAAAAATCTGGAAAAGTCAAGCAAAATTTAGATTTCTTTTTTTTTTTTTGAATCTTTAACTTTTTAATACGTGAAAGTGGGGCAAATTTCTCTTCTTAGCCTAGGAGAACTTTTTCCCAGCATAAGGACCTAGTTTTATTTCCTTAAAACTATCTTCACTTTTAGTATAATTGAGATTGCCTTTCTTAATTAATTAAATGTCACAACTCCAATATAATTATTTTGTGGATAGTTACATTAGTTGTCTTCTGTTTTAATCACCATGCCACGCTTTTTTTATTCAACATTGATCACTGATCTTAAAATATTGTTCCATGGGCTTTATACAATTCCATAACAATTTTGGTAGGAAATACATGATTTTAATGTGCAAATGAGCTCTTCATAATAAAATATTTCCTAAATAATTTTTAAATATTATCATTTTATTTTTATTACCTAGTGTACAGCATTATACGGTTTTCTGGAGTTCCTATTATGCCTGCTGGCAGCTGGCAGCAATAAGAAAGCCCCTTTTTCAAATTATTTAATCATCCTTCAATGTACTCTGATTTCGATATGCATGGCAAACCATATTGGAAATTTATACTATTTTAAGTTTTTTATTAAAAAAATAATGTGGATGACCTGAGAAACAGAGGGGAAATTAACAAATTTGAACACTTTCATTTGTAAATTATATGCATATGTGTATGTTTTTATATAATTTTAATAATAGAATACATAAATTATGTATACTTTTTTAAAACCTAGCATATTATCAGAAACATTTTAGTATAAAAAGATGCATTGAAATATCCTATGGGAAGTCTGTAATTTTGTAGGCAAACCTGTTTCTTATTCCAATGTGTTACTTGCCTGGTTAGCCCAGATGATTGAACCATGGGAGAAAACTGATGACTGTTATGGTTTCAATTTCTGGGTAGCCAGTTACCTTTACTCTCTTTCATGGCCACATGAAGGGAATAAATGACTTAGAAAGAAAATGTGGATGCATTAGTGTGAATTCATCTCCTCTGCAGGAAAAAACATCCATACCACAAGACCTAGGTTTGCGCCAATCCCTGTCATTAGTGTCAGGATGAAAAGAAACAAGATGAGGAAAATCTTGATCTTCCAAATACAAAAAGTGAATGTGATACAGCTTTCATCTCTGTAATATAACATAATGGCCTGCCTTTTTATAGTTACAGTTTAGGGGTTCCAGCTGATCACCTGCCTGAAATTATTGCAAGCCTGGTGGGAAGCATTTGAGGAGGCATAGTCATGTTTTCATTTCACTAGGAAATCATTTAGCAAATTACTGCTGTTCCGTAAATTACTGTACTGCATAACTTTCATACTGAGAAACTATTTTCTTTTTCCATAAAAATTGCAGATGAAAGGTTTCTACAATAAATGACCTGTATTTAAAACAAAACCATTCCTAGAATTTAGAGAATGTGATATAGTATTTCTCATGTGGAAATAAAAACAAATACATTTTTATTACTAATATTACAGAATGACATATTCTCTGGTAAAGACAGTTTTTAATTTATTTACTTTGCTACCCTTTAACGTAAATGCACAGAGGCTTCTGAGAGGGAAATAACAAAGTAAATACTTATGTTTTTTAAGGAAAAGAACTAAATTTGGAAATTATAGTTCTTAATGACTCTGTTTCATACCCTGAAGAGAGACCCGCAATTGGTAATCAACCTAAATAGAACAAAGTATTGGGAACAAACAGTTTTTATTATGCCAGGTCTTGTTTAGGACATCAGTGTGAGAGGAAGTAGATCAGTTCTTTTAAATTTGCATTGAGGTAATATTGGCCCAAACATAATCTGGGGAAATGTGGCATTATCCCCACAATCATTATGACTAAGAGGGTCACACTCCAAATAGGATGATCATTGCTGATGTGGCAGAATGCTTACAAAAGGACTAATTCCTCTGGCCTTTTCTAGAAACACTTGCATAATGGAACACAGAGCTGGCTCATTTCTTTTCAGTGGCAATAAGATAGAAAAGCAGAGGCAGGAGGAAACAATTCTTTAGAGAATAAGGTCCCATTTTAGCGCTGCCTTTTCATAAAAAACAGGCTTAGAAACAGGATTGAATGACATACTCAGAAGACTAGTGAATAGTAAGTAAATCCCCCCCAAACTTAAAGATTGTTATGAATAATGAACACAAAAGGCTTCCATGGTAGCTAAAATTTAAAAATAACTATCACAACAGGTGCATATTAAAACTGTCATCTCATACCTAGAATTAGTTATAACATCACTAGACAAATACCTGACATTTGTATCTATAGTTAAATAAAGTTGTGGGACAAATGTGGAGATTCAGCAGAATGGCATAAATATGGTTTCACTGCTGCAAATAAAAGCCTTAAGGAAAAGGTTAAATGAACTGTTATGACTCATTTTGAAGATGAGTAGACTAATTTTTATCATTATCTTCCAGCCTTTTCTCAACCAGTGTTCTTCTAAACTACAGAATTTAGAAGATGTTTTAAGTAACCCTTTTCTTTTTCCCATGGATGGTGCATAAATAGTATCATTCCTCATACATTAAAGAGAAGTTAATTCATTACAAAAAAGGGTAACAATTCTCTCTTGTATTGGAGGTTGATGGCAATTGTATACATAGTGGATCATAAGCTAATGTTGGCAAAGCATATGGAAGCTAGAAAATACATTTTGAAGCAAGTTATATATATGGATAGATATTAATAAGATAAAGAGTGGATTTCCTAGACATAAAAACATTTCCTTCTTTGAAGAATTTCAAGGTTTGGATTCTGGAATGGGATGAAGCGTATAGCCTGTGAAGGCAGAGTCCTTTCCCCAACCTTAAATGTGTGCTTGGTTCTTTCAACATGGAGCTATTCAAATATCTACAGTGGTGAAGCCCCAGGGTAAGAAGGAGAAAGAGGAAGATATGGTACTGCAGCTAAGAGGCAGTACCTGAGATCCATTTCTTCTCTGGGCTCAACTCAAGATGCAAAGAAACACCAACCAAGAAACTTCATGCGGACAGAGAGAAAGTTGATGTTAAAGGAATCGAGAGGAGTAACACTTGAAATACAGGATGCTTAGGGGTTCTTCCAAAATATATTTTGTTTTATCCCTAATATTAATCTTTTTCTAAAAGATAATGCCTGTTGTATATAGAACACTGCTTTACGAAGGCAGAATTATCCGTCTGAAAATAAATGATTATACCTCATGACTACAGACAAAGATATGGAAGACAAACTAAATATTCATAAGGTAGATTCAGTGGAAATTTTGGTTGTACTTTATAAAAGCAATCTGGTTTCTTATATCTATTTTGTGATACATGCAAACATAGGAAAATTCTGGATAAAGTTTTATTAACTTCCAAATAATTGAAGTTCTGTACATTCTTACCCATAGTGATATTTTATTAATTAATCCACATTATCATAAATCTAAAATTGTTCACAAAGATCACTATTGACTTGGATTGTGCACTTAAACTATAAATGCCGTTATCTAATGATACTTTAAGGAGTATTTGGACGAGGCATCAGTCACACTGTGGATACAATCTGCTTTCTCTGGCAACTTATTATTAATGTAAAATGAGAGTCCATATTGATCTTTGCTTATGCAGGCAGTTCACATGAATTCCATGAAACTGAAAGTGAACAATGAAGGGCAAACTGGCTTCTAATCAAACAGTAGCTTGAAGTTTGAGTGCAAATATCTCTTTTGTAATAAACAAAGATATCTTTCACTTGCAGAACTTTCCATTGTAATGAAGTCATGGTTAGAACAGTTAAAATAGGATAATGCTTGAAAGTGAATGAGTACATGAATAAGATTTTTCTTTGCTTTACCTAACCCCTGCCCTTTTATCCATTTACAGTTATTCAGGAGCAAGAAAATGAACCTGTGCCCCTATCCTCGAGCCCGGACATCTGCTTAAATAAGTCACAGTTAGATGACTGCCCAAGGGACTCTGGTTGTTATATCTCATCAGGAAATTCAGATAATGGCAAAGAGGATCTGGAGTCTGAAAATCTGTCTGACATGATACATAAGATTACTATCACAGAGCCAAGCGACTGAGCACACATTCTCAACTATTACCTACAGATGCGTTCCATTTTAACTCTTCTTGAGCTAAAACATCAAACAGGAGAGGAAATATTTGTAAATAAAACCTAGAGTTTAAATGTTTTAATCTGAATAATTTGTACGTAAAATTTTGTATCTCTAACATTCCAAATTATTGTCAATAAAACACATATTTATTATTTTAAATGCTATATGCTAATATTTCACTTGCCTGTATTAGAAAAGTATAATGTAAGACTTCGGTATGTGTGACATATGCTTTATTTTATAAATACGATACCTGCAAAAAACAAAGTCACCTTTTTTCATACCTGCCAGTTTCGAATTTTTATATGTTATTGAATAAATAGTAGTAGAGGAACCTCTGTGGAAACAAGTGGTCCAAGCAATGTTATATTCATTTTTATACTTATTGGGAAAGTGTGAGTTAATATTGGACACATTTTATCCTGATCCACAGTGGAGTTCTAGTAATTATATTTTCTTGATTTCTTCACCTTGTTTTCTGGTATAAAAGTAAAGATAATGTGTTGTCACTTCTGGCTTAGTGAAACCAATTGTAATAATTATGCAGATGTTTTTGTCTTTAAGTGTAAATATTTTTAAGTTTGACATACCCTGATGTTAATAATAAAAAGAACTATTTGCACATTTCATTTTCCAGAGTAGTGGTACTTAGGGGTTTTAGTATTGGACTTTAGAGAAAACACCTCCTCCCAGACATCCCACACTTTTTGTATGTAATATAAGTGCCTCCCATGGCAATAATCTCAGCCTCATCTGTCCCCTAAACCCCGGTGATGTTTATCTGACTCACATGATACCCCCAGGAAACTTCAATTCAACATAACCAAACCATTAATTTTCTCTACAAATTTTTCTCTGCTTTTATATTCTCAACTTCTCTTTACTGCTGCTAACACCCAGCCAGTCATCAAAGCAGAAAATCACTTCTTGCTTCATCTCACATATATCCTCCTCAGACAAATTCAATAAGTAATCAAGCCCTATGGATCCTACCTCTAAAAATGCCTTCATGTTCATGGATTTCTTTCCATTTTCACGGTTGTTGTCTTGCTTTGGATCCTCGTGATCTCATGTGTGGAATATTGCAGTAGCTTTCCAACTGACCCCTACCGTCTCATCCATCCTCCACAGAGCCTCCAGATAAATCTTTCTAACCCACAAATTAAATCAGGTACTTTTCTGCTTGAATGTTTTGGATGGCTCCTCATTGTCTTGAGTATAATATTCAAACGTTCTTCCAGGCTGTGTAAGGTTTTCCCAATTACTTTTTACCTACCTTATGAATTGTAACTACCCCCTCACCACCACCGCCATACACGCACACATCTCAATATACACTCCTGTCATAACAATAGACTTGTAATTTTTTTCTCTTTGTGACTTTTCATATGCTATTTATTTTCCTGGAGTGTCTCCTGCTATTTTCCACATTAGGAAGTCTCCCTCCTTTGTCCATCCTGAAGTTCGCTTACTCTGTGAAGCCTTCCATGATTCCCTTTGGTACTCTCTTCTTTGTGCTTCCGTAGCAACTTGTAAACTGTGGGTCATAGCACTTGTCATATTATGCTTTATCTATTTGTATGACAATTGCCCTTCCATAAAACTGTGGCCTCTTTGTGACAGAGATTATTTTGTTTTGCCTTTTAAATCTCTGGTGCCTAACAATACCTGGCACAGAGTGGGGACTTAGGGAATATTTGTTAGAGGGCATTGAATATGATGATTCTTCTCATAAAATAGAGTCCATCTCTATTTAAATTGATCCAATCAAACTAAAGGTAAGTACCTTCCAAAGTGACCTTTTTTTTAAACAAATAAAGCATAATACCTTAGAAAAAAACAGGAAACACGAAGTGTTACTTCAGATGCTAGCGGACAGCATTACATTGTTAATGCCTGCCTATTTTTCCAGACCCCTGAGATTTAACTGCATATGCAGTGCCCAGGTGAGGCATAAATCACATGTCTAGCTCTATTCTTCCCCCTTCATGGTGTGAAATGGTGTTTCAATTTCAGTTTTCCAAGATGCTGCCTCCATCATGACCCCACTCTTGCTAAGACTATCCCTTAGGCTATCCCCCCAAACCGAATATTCTAGGGTGTCCTTAAACACAGAAGTCACTAATCATAATTTTATAACTTTAATCAACCCACTGCCTCGGGGAGATCAAGAAAGGATAGCTCCTTTATGGAGATGCCAAGAAATTTTAAGTTGAGAAGCAACTAACAAACTACTTGACTTTAAAACAGTGGCAATCACGATGACATGTACTCAGCCACAACTTCAATCCCTTAAAAATGAAGGTCCGGTGAAGGATTTAGGGAAATATTTTTGAGGGGAAATGCAGCAGAGGCCTAGAGGAGATTGAAACAGAGGAAGAGAGATTGAATTCCTAAAAAGAGAAGACACCAAGGGGTTCAAGTGGTCAGCAGCAAGGCCTCATCCTGCAGTTCTGCACTGGAAAGGACATGTGTATAGTCGGCATATATTGCACATTAAGGGTGTACTGCTGTGCTCACTTTACTCACAGCTCCTTACCATGCCACTGCAGCTCTAGTCTCAGCTCCCTCTATGTAGGGGAGGGAACATCAACAGAAGGAAGACAGGTTTTGCGCCTTGGCCATGGAAAGCTGAATAAAGCAGAGCAGAAAGATAAGAAATAGCTCATTCAAGGTTGGGAAGTAGTTGAGGAACTTGGACCTTCTGCTGCTTTTGCCTGAGTGAGAAACATGAGTCTGATTTTTTAAGATGGCTAAAGGATTAACATTTTAATAATGATAGGATCATGATAATGGCTTTGTGTTTCCAGGATAAACCCTGATGACATTCCTAGTCTCATTTGTTGATTTATTCACTCAGACATACTTAAGCATGGAACATGTATGCTGTCCAAGACTAAGCCAAAAAAGGTCTGTTTAACTATAAAACTGCATGACCATCATACCACAGCTTCTCTCATTGGAACCCACCGAGTCTTTCATATACACACAGTTGTATATATATATGATGCAACAGTTATTCTGATCCCAGAGATTCCCCGTCTTTCCAAATTCAAGTATGTTGTGACAGCATGCATGATTAGAGGAATTTTATTCTAGATAAATAAATAAAATCATCATAGTTTTTGATGAATATAAAAATTAGATCATTTAAATTCTGAGTTTCCCTTGTTCTATTGCTAATGTAAACATGAATATATCTTCACTCTGAAGTATTTTATTATAATCTTTTCTTTTTTAATCAATTAAATTGCCAAGGAGTTTAGTTCAGAAATAAAATAACTTTTAAAATTTCAAAAGATAGGCAGCTAAAGATTATCATGATTTCAGAAAACGTACAGTTTACTGAGGTTATAGTCAAGTGCCTTGCAACTTCCTGAGTGAGGCCAAATTGATGACATTTCATGTTGAGAAACTTCCGTTACAAGCAGAAGTTCTGAGAAAAATAATAGAAGAAATTGTAGACACTCCATCACTTCACACACACACGCACTTCCATCCTCCCTACAACCATCAAAGAAACTTGTATAACTAATTTGCATACAGACTTCAAGTATCCTTTCATAAAGTGGGAAGTCACGCTACCATCATGTAAAGGTTGAGAGCAAAATGAATAGAGACTAAATATAGGTAAAAGAACAGCAGCTTCCAAACTTGACCAGGAATTTGTCTATAGAAATTAGATAAAAGTAACTTTCCTTTTATGTTACCTCCTATTTAATTGCTGAATTCCTCTGATCATACCCAGTGTTGACCTAAACGTAGAGACTGGAGGAGGTCATGGAGTTGAATCATCTGGTTTGAGAACTGTGTGACTCTGGGCAGGTCATTTATCTTCTTGTTTTTTTGAGACAGAGTCTCGCTCTGTCACCAGGCTGGAGTGCAGTGGCACGATCTTGACTTACTGCAACCTCTGCCCCCCAGGTTCAAGCAATTCTCCTGCCTCAGCCTCCCAAGTAGCTGGGACTACAGGTGTGCACCACCACACCCAGCTAATTTTTGTATTTTTAGTAGAGACAGGGTTTCACCACATTGGCCAGGATAGTCTCGATCTCTTGACCTTGTGATCCGCCTGCCTCAGCCTCCCAGAGTACTGGGATTACAGGCGTGAGCCACCGCGCCTGGCCAGGTCATTTATCTTCCAAGCTTAGTCTTTTTTTTTTTTTTAATCTAAAAAATGTCGTCAATTAAACGAGATAATGTGTGTAAAGCAAACAGCACAATGCATGTAGTATGTGCATAAAAGCAACTACTGTTATTATATCCACTACTTCATTTTACTCATTGATGTCTTGATATTCAGTGGAAGCAGTGTACATGCTACCACAATGCAGGCATAGACTTGTTGGCATTTGAAGTTCTTAAGACACAAATTGTCTCAGAACTAGGATAACTGTGTTTGTCAGAAGCAATGAGAGGGTTAGCTGGCTTAACAGAAATTCTCAGATGAATGACCACTTCTTCATAAAAGAATATTTCTTTGTTTACTCCTGACCAGCTTAGGAAAAAGCTGTATTATATTTAGGTTTGATTCCTCACACCTAGCTTGATTGGAGTACTTTTTTTTTTTTTCCCAAGAGGGAGTCTCACTCTGTCGCCCAAGCTGGTAGCTGGGATTACATGTGTGCGCCACCATGCCTGGCTAATTTTTTTGTATTTTAATAGAGACAGGGTTTCACCATGTTGCTCAGGGTGCTTTTGAACTACTAAGTTCAGGCAATCTGCCTGCCTCTGCCTTCCAAAGTGCTGGGATTACAGGCATGAGCCACCACGCCTGGCTGGAGTTCTCATTTTTGAAGAATGAAGGATTTATAAATAAATGCCTAATGAATGAGTGAAAAACATAAATAAATGTTTTGGGGTTATTACTGGCATTACTGTACCCTGGAACCTGGTCTCTTAAAGATTATGAAGTCACAACTTATTATGCTATAGACAACAGAGAAGCCCTTAGGAAGGCACCCTAAATGTAGATATTTACCTATTTATGAAGCTTATGAGCATTTAGGCAAACAATCTGCCATGAGAAATCAAAGTGCAGAAAGAGGCTGAGAAGCTACCAGGAGCATATATGATCTAATCATAACCCCCGCTTCCCTATTCTCATCATGCAAACTTCTCACATTTGAATTCTCAACAGTATCAGAAGGTCTGTATGAGGTACATTATAAGTTTAGAAACCATGAGGGAAGAATCTAAAAAACGACATTAGTATATTCCGTGGTTTCTTTTGACCTTCTGGGGTCCCTGATGGGCCTGAGTGCAAAGCCCCATTTCCTCATAGGGCAGGAGTAGAATCCTGATGCGTAAGGCTAACAGGATCGTTTCCTTTCTGAGTTCTTGGGCACTAGGCCAAGTGAATGGGCAGGAATCATCCCAGTTGCAGAGTAAAATGGGGTGAAAAGCACTTCTGGCAAACTTTGTTCATATAAATTATACTTGTTTGCAATTCATCAACTCCTTCTCTACTTTATATCCATATGTAATGTAAATGATTATCTTTCTCTGAAGCTCTGTAATGATGCACAGCTCAAAAATGTGATAGAATCAGCTAAAAGAGAGCAGATGGAAGTTTTCCCCCAATATGCAGATTCATAAAAAAAATTGAGAACTCAACAAAAGGAGATAC